CCCAGGCCCTCCTTTCCCCCGCCCCCCCCCCCCCCCCCAGACAGGCCAGGGAACGGAAAGGGTGGCCACCTGGTCCACTTCCCCAGGAGCCACACCTGCATTAGAGCCCGGAGGTGTCGAACTCATTTGTTACTAGGGCCGGATCTGACATTATTGTCACCTTGTCGGCCGGGCCATGTGTGCCATAAAACATAATCATAGAATGTTAGAGTAGGAAGGGACCTTGCAGGTCATCTAGTCCCACCCCCTGCACTCTGCAGGAGCACAGCCAAAAGAGAGCCCTACATACCTACAACACACCCGAAAGATGGCCGTCCAGCCTCCGCTTGGAAACATCCAGCGAAGGAGCCTCCACCACCTCCCCGGGCAGACTGTTCCACTGCTCTCAACCACTCTGACAGTTAGGAAGTTTCTCCTGATATTTAGCCGGTAACGACCCCCTTGTCATTTCCACCCATTAGATCTAGTCTTGCAATCCGGAGCAAGAGAGAATTGATCTGCTCCATCTTCTACATGACAGCCCTTCAGATATTTGAAGACTGCAATCATGTCCCCTCTAAGCCTCCTCTTTCCCAGGCTAAACAGACCCAACTCTTTCAGCCTTTCCTCCTAAGACTTGGATTCCAGCCCTCTCACCATCCTGGTTGCCCTCCTCTGGACACGCTCGAGCTTGTCAACACCCTTCCTCAAATGTGGTGCCCAAAACTGGACATGGTACTCCAGGGGAGGCTTGACCCTAGCAGAATAGAGCGGAACTACCACCTCCCTTGATCTGGACACAATGCTTCTGTAGATGCATCCTAAGATTGCATTAGCTTTCTTCACAGCCACATCGCACTGCAGGCTCATGTTTAGCTTGTGATCAACCAGAACACCCAGGTCCCTTTCACAGGTGCTGCTGTCAAGCCACCAGGTCCTGGAGATAATGCCAGGTACCGGAGATATAAACTGTATAAAGGACAGCAGCTGGTGATCTCTGAGTTGTTGTATCCTCTCTGCAAGGCCACACAGGCTGGGAGGGGGGTGCAAAGGAGAACCCACATGGGCGGACTGGAGAGCCAGTGGTGTGGTCCTGGGCAGACGCTCCCACGCCAGTTGACTGCTTGTTGGGTGATCGTGAGATGTTGAAAAAATGGTATTTAGCAGAGATAGTCCAGCAGTGCCAGAGTAAAATAATTCAGACTGAGAGTCCATGTGTGATTAAAATATAAAGTTTTTACTAAATTCTAGCATGGGGAAGGGTAACTGGGATGAAAATAACAACAGAGCATAATCGGCTACATCCTTACTCTACAAAGACAAAACTAGAAGAGAGGGGAGATTATGGCTACTCTTCTTGTTCTTCTTCAGAACACCAAAAACAAAGACGGGAAGAGAAGCCATAAAATGGTAATACACCTTGGCACTTTAGTCCCAATCAAATTCCTGGATCAGGGAGAAAATTCCCCGGGGCTTCTTACATCTAAAGAACATTGGTTACATGAGAAACAGGTGACTTCCTGTGAGTAACATAAACAAACATTTAACCCCAGATATACTGAGTGTTTTCAACTTGTAATACCCAACACTGCTGCACACGAGGTTGTTCCGCCGTGCTGACGCCACCATCGGAGTGGCTCCCTCCCACTCCCCCCGAAAAGGCTCCCATTCCCTCCCTTGCACTTGTTGCTCGCGGGACACATGAGAACCCTGGGTGGGCCTCTGGGCCTTATGTTTGACACCCCTGCCTTAGACCCCTTAGCCAGCAGCACAAGGAAAGGGCCGTCCCTCCAAGGCGGAAAACGCAGGTCTGCCCAACAGCGCCCCCCGCCCCCCCCCATGCCTGGAAGCCCCCCCTCCCCATAGTCCACTGAGGAGCCAGGCAAGTGCCCGCCTCGGTCCAGGGGCCACGGTTTCTGCCGCTCCACTCACATGCAGCATGGCAGCTTTCGGCAGCAGCACGCTTCCAGCCCTCCCCTGAAAAAGACCCAGGAGGAGGACGGGCCTAGGTTGGCAGCCTGCCACCGAATGCAGGTGGGGGCCCCCAGGGCAAATCTGGGGGGGGGGCATTTGAAGAGTGAACCTCCCCCCCTCCCACAGCTCTGCCTGGTGCCTGCCCAGAAAAGGCCACGGGTCTCAGAGGCACACCCAGCAGTTGGTCTGTCGCCAGTCGCCAGGTGGCATGTGCCCCCCCCCCCGCAGTCGGCCAGGCCAGGCCACCCCCTCCCTCGCTGCACAGAGGGGAGAGGTCAGTCTGCCGGCGAAGGCAGCCCCTCCACCCAAAGCACACAACACAGCCTACAGAGTCCGCCTCTGAGGGCCACATCGCGCCGGCACAGGTCAGTGGCGCCGGGCGGCCCGAGCACAGCTTAGCTGCCTGGTCTTCGCTGGCGTGACAGAGGCCGCTAACCGGCTTTCAGAGAGGGGAAATGAGGTGGCAAATGCCACTCCTGTCAGCAGGCCACTCAGCAGAGTGACAGCCACACATGACTCCAGGCACCGCCGGGGCAAAGGACCTTGCTGAACGGCCACGGCCTCCTCCATGAGAGCAGGGGGAACACTTCGGGA